TCAATACATACATACATAAATAAACAGTGAAGCCTCCTCTTTTCCAGGCTTATTATCAATAGTCCTCTCCATATGTTTAAGATTTCAAAATCATCACATCAACAGGATTTAATGAGATAGGAAAATGAAAAAATGCTTTATATAGTATTTACAAAAGACACAATAAATTTTTAAGAATCTGGCGACCGTGTTCTTTGGTTGGTATATATTACAACTCACCTCCAAGAAGTAATAAAACCATTAGATCTGAAGCAGTTTTGAGCTCAGCAACATCATCCTCCTTGTCACTATCCACTTTCTGCTGAACAATCTCTAGTAGACATTCTACCAAGCCTGCTTCAACCAGCTGTAGTTTAATAGCATCTAAAGAATAATGTGAACAAAATAACCAAAACCTGAGATGAAAATAGGAATTCTGGGATAAGCAATCCATTATGAAGAATTACAAGAAACCAAGAAAATGCATAATTTAGATAACACACCCTAACAGTGGTTCTCAACCTTCCTAACGCTACAACCCTTTAATACCGTTCCTTATGTTGTGGTGACGCCCAACCATAAAATTATTTTCGTTGCTACTTCATAACTGTAATTTTGCTACTGTTATGAATCGTAATATAAATTTCTGATATGCAGAATGTATTTTCACTGTTCGCGACCCACAGGTTGAGAACCACTGCTAGAAATTTGAGTTTCAAAAGGAAGTGTCTGACAGTGCAGCCTAAACACAGAGAAGCTTTATTTCATTTTTCTAATTGAAATTGTTACCTTTCACAATATCTGGAAGCTCCTAAACAAATTCTCAGCTCTGAAGGTAAGTACTATCATGCCACTGTTATTCTAGATATTATGCTCATATTTAAAAGTCAATAAATAAGATATCCCACACTGTTTAAATTAAAACACACATACCTGTTACATAAAGTTAAAATGGATCCATTAATGAAGTTTAAATATAAATTATTTTAAAGTAAAGAGCTATTAGTAAATTTTAAGCTATATCACAAGTATATTTGGATTCATATTTGTATAAATGTTATCTTTCCAGGGCAGTTAAAAGATCTATACCTTTCATAATTTTAAATGTTTTTTTTTGTTTGGGTTTTTTACAAAAGCTTCAGGTTTTATTAATTTGAAACTTTCTAGGGTGATGGATATATATGGTAGTTCATTATAGTATGTTCTCTGTATATCTGAATAGGTTTTAAAATTTCCATAATGACAGGTTAAAGAAAACAATAACTTTCAAGCTTTCTGATGGATAACCAACAAAATAAGGAATATTAGAGAATTTACATTCCAGTTGTATTTTTAAAAATTATCTTCATAGCAAATTCTACTCCCACATCAAATCAATTTTGTTTGTACTTCCCTAATAACAAATACTTTTTCATTACAAAATTTACATCACTGAAGATTTTATATTCACATTCATATCTGCCTTTTCCATTAGAGTAGATATTATATACACTTCATTCATCTTTGTATTTTAACCTAAACTGGCTTACCTAAATGCTTTGGGTATATCTAATACTACTTAGAAATACATATGCTACACAGAAATTTTAAACTTACACAAGTTTCATTTCTCAGTTGGATTTTATTTTAAGTATAGGTTCTACAACAATGGTTGTTATTTGGGAGAAAAAATACTTATTTTTATACCTAAGACTTTTTCTTTCAGGCAATTTTAATGTGTAAAACTTGAGGATTTTGTTGTTTTTTAAACTACCAGGACAACTGATCTTTATATTATTTCCAAATACATGGAATATTCAACCTGGAATATTTTTTGAAAAGGTACATTTGCACTGTGCCATGCTGAAAGTAGGGCGTTTCCTTGGTTACAGAATGCTAGGGCTAGAAATGTGCAGTGACTAGAATTGAAAGCCATGATGAAAAAGCCTTAAAAACACTGAAAAAACAACTCTTGAATCATACAAAATCCCAATTGAAATGTTGGAATCACTTTCCTTTGCATATAAGGAAAACCAAAGATGATATGCTAAAGATAGTCCAGAAATAAGTTTTCAAAGATATCATTCAATCTACTCCACAGTTATAAAAGAGAAGTGAAGGTGGTAGAGGAGAAACAAATAATAAAAACATTGTTATGTTGAAACATTGCAAAGCAGGTTACAGGTAAATCTCTGGCATAAAAACTGACTGAAGGTCATAATAAAAATTTCATTTGGCCAAACTAACAAATGAGATGAAAAACAAATTTCTCCCTAGAGAATAAGAGCTAAGGCATTTAGAAAATTAAAAATTTGTCATGATTAAAGTTTACAGATCTCTTCTCTCAGAGTTTGACTGTAATCACTCTGTCACACAGACACACACTCACACATATACACCTGGGAGATTTAAATAGCCTTATTAAAGAGTATTAGCAAGACATTTGCTACAGCAGATAGCCCATCACACACCTATCAACGTCATTTTGTCCAAGAACATCTACCTTTATCACTACCCTTTGCATATATATGCATTTATGTACCCATGCATATATGTATGCATCACACACACACACACACACACACACGCACACACACGTATTTAAAAATCTTTTCTAAATGGTTAAAAAAATCCCACAAATGCAGAGAAGTGCAAAAAAAACATGCATTTAAATAACCAATAACCATGTAACTACAACCTAAACCAAGAAATTCAGTCCGACTGGTTTAGGTCAGTGGTTGAGCAACCCAGGAACCAAGAGGTCATGGGTTCAATTCCTGGTCAGGGCACATGGCCAGGTTGTGGGCCCCAACCCCAATAGAGGGCATGCAGGACACAGTCGATTGATGAAGTTTCCCTCTCATAGATGCTACCCCTCTCCCTTTGTCTCTCTCTAAAAATCAATAAAGGAAAAAAAGTTTGAAAAAAAATTAATTGCCAACAATCCAGGAAGTCACACTGGGCATTTCCGTCACTAATCTCTCCCCTCCATCCATCTCTCTCAAATTACTTCCCTGACTTTTATGGCAATCACAACCATACTTTTCTTTATTGTTTCACCAAATAATCACTTCTAAAAACTACACTAGCCCTGACCAGTTTGGCGTGGTGGATGGAGCATCAGTCTGCAGACTGAAGGGTCCCAGGTTCGATTCTGGTCAAGGGCATGTACCTTGGTTGTGGGCACATCCCCAGTGGGGGGTGTGCAGGAGGCAGCTGATTGCTGTTTCTCTCTCATCAATGTTTCTAACTCTCTATCCCTCTCCCTTCCTCTCTGTAAAAAATTAAAAAAATATATTAAAAAACAAAACAAAGCAAAAAAACCGCAATAATCTTACCTTGTTTTGAATTTTACATTCATAAAATCTTACAGTATGTGTTTTCCAGTGTTGGCTTTTTCCTTTTCATCTGTTTGTAAGATTTGTTTTATTTTTAAAATATATTTTTATTGATTTCAGAGAGGAAGGGAGAGGCAGAGAAAGATAAAAACATCAATGATGAGAATCATTGATCTGCTGCCTCCTGCACACCCCACACTGGGGATCAAGCCCAGAACCGGGCATGTTCCCTGACTGGGAATCAAACCGTGACCTCCTGGTTAGATTGATACTCAACTGTTGAGCCACACCAGCCAGGTTACATTATTGGTTTTAAGTATCTTCATTTTGTTTCTTAACTATATATTTTTCTATTATATAAATATACCATGATTTATGTATTCTACTGTTAATGGATATGAGTTGTTTACAATGTTCCTCATTATAAATAACTAGAGGCCTGGTGCACGAGATGCATGCACTGGGGTGAGAGAGATGTCTGTCAGCCCAGCCTGCACCCTCTCACAGTCTGGGACCCCTCGGGGGATGTCCGCCTGCCCAGGGGGATCGGGCCTAATCCGGCAGACATCCTTCTTGCAGTCAGGGCTCTCGCAGTCCAGAACCCCTTGCTCCTTACCACCAACCTGCAGGGGAGGTAGGAGAGGCTCCCCGCCACTGCTGCTGTCTGTGCTGAGCCCGGCGGCGTCTGGCTGAGCTGCGCTCCCCCTGTGGGAGCACACTGACCATCAGCTCTTGCACTGAGCGTCTACACCCTGGTGGTCAGTGCGTGTCATAGCGACCGGTCATTCTGCCATTCTGTCGATCTGCATATTAGGATTTTATTAAATAGGATGCTGCTATGAACATTCCTGTAATGGTTCCTAGTGCACATATTTCTGGATTATAGGGAATGCATGATTCCAACTCAGTAGATACTGTTTTCTAAAGTGTACCAATTTACACCCCACCAGCATTTAATGACAATTCCTACTGCTACAAACCTTCATCAACATTTGGTATAATCAGACATCTTAGTGGGTATATAGTATTGTATTTTGCATTCCCTGATTATTAAGGAGTTGAGCATTAATCCTCACCCGAGGATATGCGTATTGATTTTAGAGAGAGGGAGAGGGAAAAGGAGAGAGAAATAGAGCCGGCAATCTAGGTATGTGCCCTGACCAAGAATTGGTGTATGAGATGACCAATTGAGCATATTTGTATGTGTTTAATAGCCATTGGATTGTATCTTTTCTCAACTACTTACTCAAGTTTTCCCCACTAGGTTTTCTACATTTTTCTTAATGATCTGTGGAAGCTTTAATATATTGTACACATTTTCTTGGTTATATGTTGTAAATATTTTCTCTACCCCACTGTCTTCCTTTTTATTCTTAACGGTGTCCAAATTAATAATTTTTTTCCTTTATGGTTAGAGTTTTTTGTGACCTAAGAAAATTATCCGGACTCCAAGATCTTGATGATATGCTCCTACCTTATATTTTAAGATAAACTTTCTGGTTTAACTTTCACATATAGGTCAATAATCTGAAATTAATTTTTAATATAGCATAATTTTTTCTTTTTTTAAATATATTTTACTGATTTTTTACAGAGAGGAAGGGAGAGGGATAGAGAATTAGAAACATCGATGAGAGAGAAACATCGATCAGCTGCCTCCTGCACACCCCCTACTGGGGATGTGCCCGCAACCAAGGTACATGCCCTTGACCGCATTCGAACCTGGAACCCTTGAGTCCGAAGGCCGACGCTCTATCCACTGAGCCAAACCGGTTACGGCTATAATTTTTTAATATAGTATAAAGTGGGCGTATGTGTCTCTCCAGTTTTTTTTTTTTTTTCATATTCAAAGCACTGCTGATTGAAATGACTGTACTTTCCATACTGTTTTACAGTGAATTCTTTTTACCCCCTAATAAATAAACATCTATTAAGGTACCCATTTGTCGTTGGGCTACCCTGTTCTAATGGTCTTTTTGCCCATCCTTGCACCAGTATCACACTGTCCTTTAATTATTAGAGTTTTATGCAGTGAAATAGTTCTGCTACCTTGTTGTCTTTCACAGTATCTTGGCTATTCCTGGTGTTTGGGGTTTTGGTTAGAACTTCATTGAGTCTACAGACCAAGATGGGTAGATATAACATCATTAGAGCACTGAGGTTTCCAATCTATGAAAATGATATAGCTTCCCATTTATTTAGAGCTTCTCTAATTTCTCTTGATGATTTCCTATAGTTTTCTGCCAGAGATCTTAAACATTTACTAGTCTATTCTTAAAGCATTTAATATTTTATACTATGGTAAAAACGTATTTTTAAAAATGCATTTCCTATTTTCTTTGCGGGTACACAATAATACTATGTTTTGATTTTTTCATTTGTTTTGGCTAGCAATCTAATTTTGATTAATTTTTAAAAATTGATCTATGAATTCTTTTGGATTTCTGACATAAACCATATAATCTATAAATATTATTTTATTTATATCTCCTATATATTTTCTTTCTTATTCTACTGTAGTGGACAGTTCCTACAATAATGACTAGAAATAGGAATGGTCCTTTTTATTCCCAATTTGAAAGGAAATGCTTTTTGTTTCATCATTATATTGTTTTCTGTAGGCTTGTGGTATATATCCTTTTCATTCTCTTCTAATGCTGATTTGCAAAGTTTTTAAAAATCATGAATGCATGAGAGCATGAGTGGGGAGGGGGGAGGATGGGGATTAATGGGGGGGAATGAGGACACATTTGTAATTCCATAACTAATAAAGAATTTAAAGATTAAAAAAAATCATGAATGCACAGTTAATTGTATCAAATGCTTTTCTTAATCTAAGATAATATAATTTCTCCCCTTTAATAATTTTTAATGTAATAAAATATATTGATTACATTTTCACTATTAAACTGTTTTGTATTTTCAGAATAAGTCCCATTTGCTTTGAGGATAAATTTTAAATATATTACTGGGCTTCATTTACTAAAATTTTAAGGGGAAATTTGGATCTATGTTCATGGTGAAATTGGCTTTAATTTTCATTCTTGTATTATCTATTTGGTATAAAGATTACAGTAGTCTCATAAAATAAATTGGTGAGTATATCTGCTTTTCTTATTCTCTGGAAAAATTTAAGATTACTCAGTTTTTCTATTTCTTCTTGTGTCATCCATACTTTAAAACATATTGGCATCAACTTGTTCATAACATCCTCTTAATAATTTCTGTAAGATTAGTAGTAAGGTCTCTTTTTACATTTCTTGATTTTCATTATGTGTCTTCTCTCTCTTTTTTTTCTGATTAACTTATGAGGGATTTACAAGTTTTATTAATTTACTTCAGACTCAACTTTGATGACATACGCTTGTATTCATTATGTATTTTCTATCTTACCAATTTCAGCTCTGTTTCCTTCTTTCTATGTTATTTGGCTTCATTGGTTTCCTTCCCCCTAAATTTCTGAAATGAATACTAAGCTCACTGCTCTTACTTTTTCCTTTTCTAATATATTTATTCAAAGCAAGAAAAATTCCCTCCAAGTATGGCTTTACCTACATCACATAAGATTTGAGATAGTCTTTTCAATTTCATTACAGAAAATTTCCCAAGTTCCATCATGATTCTTCTTTGACCTCCTAAATATTAGCAGTGTATTTTTAAATATCTAAACAGGAATTCCTAGTTATATTTTTATTATTAGACAACCCACTTAAGCCAGAGAACATACTCTGCAAGACTGCAATCCTTTGAATTTGTTGAAACTTGTTTCATGACTATGTTTTAAAACATTTCATGTGTAGTTGAAAAGAAAGGATTCTGTAGTTGGGTACAGTGTTCTGAAATATGTCTATTAAGCCAATTTCTTAATCATGTTGTTCACATATTCTATACCCTTATTGTTTTTCTTTTCTTTCTAGACTTCCTTTCGATCTATCTTTCAGTTCGCTAAAAATCTTTCCATAAATTCTTCCATTAATTTGATAATTACAGATGGTTTTAAAAGATATTTTAGCAGGCACATTAAAAGTTGAAATCTTTGAATAATCAGAGTCTACTGGTACTTTCTGCTGGTCTTTTTCTCCATTCTTGCACCAATACCACACCATCCTTTAATTAATATAAGGGTCTTTAACATCTTTCACTTCCTTCAATATTTATGTTTATTTCCTGATATATATTAAATTATATACATATATATTTTAAACCTCACCATAAATTATTTTTATTATTTTATAAAATCAATGTTCATGAAATTTATCTACTTACTAGTTTTTTGCTCTTTATTCTCCTGTGCATCTAGAACCTTCCTTCTGGAAGCATTTTCCCTCTCAGAAACACCCATTACAATTTCCTTTAGTGACTATATAGTGGTGGTGAACTTTCTGTTTTTCATCTGAAAATAACTTTATTTTGCCTTCAATTCTGAAGGGTATTTCACTGAGTTTAGAATTACAAGCTGACATTTTTTTTCAGTGCATAGAAGTTGTTGTTTCACTGTCAGTTGGTTTTCATTGTTGCTATTGAGAAGTTAGCTGTCAGTTGAACAGTTGCCCTTTTAAAATAAGCTATTTTTTTCCTGGCTACTTTTAGATTTTATTATTTTTTTCTATAATTTCAATATGATGGTAAATTTATTTTTATCATGTTTTAGATTCATTTGGCTTCTTGAATTTTTTGAAATTCTCTACCAAAATTTCTTTAAATACATCCTCTGATCTCTACCCTCCTCCCACCCTTTTGGGAATTCCCAGAAATGTATATGAGAGCTGTTCATTTATCCTCTGTACCTCTTATTCTGTTTTATGCATATTGGTTCTTTTCTTTCTGGACTTCCTTTCAATCTATCTTCACCAGTTCCCCAAATCAACTACATTTAATCTGTCATTTCCACCATTAATTCGGGTTGTATTTTTCAATACTGGAATTTCCAATTGTTTTTTTTTTCTTTCAAATTTGTCACGTCATGTTTTAGAGTTTTCAGTTTCCTTCTAAGATTTTCAAGCTTGCTTTGAATATCATAAGCATACCTGTTTTGAGTCAATGTCTAATAATTCCAATATCTGGAGATTTGTTGCTGCTGCCTGTTCTTAGTGCTGGTTCTTGCTTATAATGTCTTGTCTCCACATGTGTCTGGTCCTCTTTGATTATATGCTAGACACTGTATTTGAAAAATTATTCATATGGAATGGTTTATTTATTCTGGATCACTCTTATTCCTAAGGTGTATTCCTTAAGATTTTTTTTTTGCCCAAACACACGAGTAGTTTACCAGTGTCTACACTGTTGACAGGCCTAGAGCTCCAACTTTTATCCCCTTTGCTCTGCAAGGGTACAAAAGTGGGTTTAAGGCTCTCAGCTGCCTTTTTCAGATCAGCATAAGAATGTGTAAGCTACAGAACCATCTTTGCCAAGACTTCCAAGTTAAACAAACTTGGACAGTAGCTTTGGCCAATGTAGATACAATTATGAAGTAGATAATATGTAGCTGAAGTTAGAGATACACAAATTCAAACTTGCATCATTAATAAATCAATTAAATAGCTAGCAATTAAATAATGTTAGAAAAAAATGGAAAAGGCCTACAATGATAAAAAAAATCAAGAGATGCATTTATTTTCTCACCATTTTCTGCCAAAGGAGCAAGAACTTCAAAAATCATTTCCCTCTTATCATGTTCTATTTGTTTCTTGAAGAGTTTTACCATCTCTTCAGCAATGTTTGTACTGGCAAACTGTTCTTTACTGGACTCTGTTAAAAAAAAGAAAAAGAAAATTTATGCTAAGCAAATAAAATTAAACCCAGAAATTGTTTGTTTCCTATTATTTCCAATACTTGGTTATTGTATACCATTACTGATAAACATTCTTCAAATACAGGAATAATCAAATCCACTTTCTAATGCCCCTGAAAAGAAAAAATGTCTAAGGCTTTAAAGAAAATGTTCTAACCCAATTATGGTCAAGACTATAAAAATGTTCACTAGCATGACACAGCAACAATAAAATTACTAAGTTTTAAATTCAGTTTCAAGGTTTTGTCAAAGAAAAAGTACTCAGAACAGACTGAACTTTGTGTGGTTGAATTAAAGGTGACTTATCTTTATATCATTAAAGGGGTGTGAGTTTGCACTAATCCTGATATGCCTACTGCTAAAAGCCAATCAATTCTTCACATGTATTTGGGGTCCCATTCATTCTTGATTCTTTCACATATCCAACCTTTCCTCCATTCTAGAGCCTCACATAAAAAAGCAATATAAAAAAAATAAACACCTTCCCTCTACTCCACTTTTCTTCAAATACCATCCGTGTTCACTTTCACAAACAAGTTAATAGCATTGTTTAACATACACTCTCTCTACTTTCTTAACTCACATGCATTAATTCTTAAACTCACTTCAAGCCAGTTTTGGGTCCACACCTACTCTCTGCAGTGTCCTTTGCTTGTTCCCTCCAGACCTCTATTAATTCCAGTTCTTTGGGATATGATCCTTTGCTTTCTTAACTTTTTGGTCCATTCTTTTACCCTAGGCCAGGGGTCGGCAAACTCATTAGTCAACAGAGCCAAATATCAACAGTACAATGATTGAAATTTCTTTTGCGAGCCAAATTTTTTAAACTTAAACTATATAGGTAGGTACATTGTTATTAACTTAATTAGGGTACTCCTAAGGCTTAGGAAGAGCCACACTCAAGGGACCAAAGAGCTGCATGTGGCTTGTGTGCCACAGTTTGCCAACCACTGCCCTAGGCAATCTAACTTTTTTCCATTGTATTAACAGTCTTTGAATGTTGCTAATTACACAATCATATCTCTTTACCCCTCTTCTGGATTCCAGGCTACTTACTTAACTGACCATTTGACATCTCACTTAAATATCTTTAGCATTCAAACTCAATATCTAAAGTGGACTTTTGATATTACCCTGATTTCTGTTCTTCCTCCAGACTTAACATGGTAAATGAATACTCTACCTACTCATCTATGTAGGTAAAAACTTGGGAGCCACCGATGACTTATTCTCATTCAATTCTACATCCAATGGATTACCAAGGTCTGCCAATCTGCCTCCAAAATACAACTGAAATCCATTCCATTTCTCTCCAATTCTCTTCTAATTTAGTTTGCTGTATCAGATATCCTATGAATTTATCAAGAAGTTTCTCTCAAAAAAATTCTGAACAAATTGAATCTACACTGGTTGCTCTCTGTTTGGGGAGTACAGCGAACATCCTGGAATTTTTTTATTGAGTTTCTATTATGAAAGATAAAGCATCAGCTTTCTTTTTTTTTTAATTAAATCTTTATTGTTCAGATTATTACATTTGTTCCTCTTTTTTCCCCCCATAACTCCCCTCCTCCCAGTTCCCGCCCCACCCTCCACCCTCACTCCCCACCCACTGTCCTCATCCATAGGTGCACGATTTTTGTCCAGTCTC